GCGTTTTTTAATATCTACAATAAAATTAAATCGTAAAGTGTTTGATTTGAATCTGCTGACGTAGGAGCTGTGTGTATAGACTACAGACCGCATAAGTTATAATCTACCGAAAGTATTCCTCCTCACGTCGGCCGCGGGCGCGCTCCGGCTGCTATTTAAATCTCATCAAACTTACGCACACTGTCTAAGTGAAGTACTGAACATAATTGCTTTGATTGAAGTAAACACTTACACTTACAAGTACTTTCCTAATGGAACAACTACGTGTCAAAGGTAGGTATTACAATTTTACAATGAATCGTAGTATTGACGTAAATTGTAAATTGGAACAGATTGCGTGGATTCAATAGTAATTAGTACATTGTTGGTCATGCACCGCACTGACACCCGAGCGTCAACAAACATCATCAATCAATTGCATCCTCGAGGACGCGGCCATGCGGCTTGTGTTGCTTGTGTTGCTTATATTAAACAGTACACAGTCACATTTGAATATTTTACTCGTTCGATTCTCATCTCAATTGATTTAGTATTGAGTATTCAATTGCTGAATCTTTGCAAAGTTGTCCAAGTTATTTTAACACTTAATTATGATATAGTTACTGTTCACACAGTAGTACTCCAGGTTAAGTATCCTTAGGGGTAAGGGGTTTAAGCCAACATGACGTAATATAATGTACTCGTACAAGATAAAACGAACGAAAGGCCTAAGCTAATATCTTCTTTGTATTTTGTACGTATTGAAAATAAGACCAATGAAATAGATCATGAACCAATAAATTAACGTGTATTGGACTACTGTGTCATGAAACACTGTGTATCTATACATATTATTTACAAAGAAGTACTATTTGCATAGAGGTGATTGATCTATTAGTAGTTCTCGTCGAATGTCTGTATAAATAATTAAATATTGACTAAACTTATCAATATATCTTAAACGAATGTTATGTGACTACAATATTTGTCTCATTACTGTAATGACTGATTGCTGATTACAAGGCTGTGTGCTCACTCGGTGGTCGTTATCAAATGATCACATAATGGTGCGCACACAACGTTGCTGGTGAGGCGCCGGCGCTGATACAATCACAGTCTATGCTTGCACATTCTGCCACCGCGGGGACATTCAGTAGCTAAGCACATAATGTCATTTATATGGGTACAGTGCAGTTGGAGAACTATGCCTTGCTACGAATGGGCTGGCTCGATCGGTATGGGTTATACCACGGGGCAAAGACCTAATAGAAAACCAGCGTGAAAGTGGTCTCCCATCTGTCCAAACTTTGAAATTTCCAAAATAATCAGCAACGCGCTTGTAACACCACCGTGATGCGAGTGTTCATGGGCGATGATGATTGCTTCCCATTAAGTGATCAGTCTACTTGTATATATACCATATATACCATAAAAATACATTGATATACAGAGGGATAACAATATAATTATTTACTCTTGCCGCCTTTGTGATGTATGGGTGAACTAAGGGACCGAACCCGGAATTCGCGATATTAAGATCCCAGGATTTAGTAGTAATCTAAAAACAATTGTAGAACGAATCCGGGAATTTGTAAATAAATATGCTAAAAATTACGGCCCAATGCCCATAACATGTGGTCCCTCAGTTCTTACACCTGATCAGCCAGATCTCGGAAAGTATTCTAACCAAGAAGGTTTTAGCCAGTCTAAAGTCCGGCCCGCGCCCGCGCGACCGTTTGTCTCTCTAAAGTCCAGCCGCACGCGGCACTCGAACCACGCGCGGCTTCGCAACTTCGGCGTAGAACCGTAATGGATAGAAAAAAAAAATACGAAAAAAACATCGACGAACGAACTATTTTATCAGCTGTATAGATAATCTGTCAAATCTCACCAAACAATACCGAATTTTAAACTAAATAGAGTTAAACTGCACAGTTGGTGCGGTGGCTGGGCAACTGGCTGCCGTGCAACGTGTCGCGGGTTCGATTCCCGCACGGAACAACACTTTGTGTAATCCACAAATTGTTGTTTCGGGTCTGGGTGTGATGTGTATGTGAACTTATATGTTTGTAAAGGTACCCACGACACAGGAGAAAATCCTAAAGTGGGGCAACGTTTTTTTTTCAAAAAAAAAACACTACTCGTCGCTTTGGATACTACAGTATCCGTGGGCGTGTGACGCTACTTTTTTTGGATCCCGTACTATCTATGGACGTCAGAGTGGTTACGAATACACATATTTAGTAGAGAATTTGTAAAGATGTTTACAAAAGGAAAACAACACAAAGCATTAAAAATAAAAAACATATAACGAAGAAGAAGGTTCTAACATATCTAAATATGTGTATTCATAAAACCTTCTTTATTAGGATACTTTCCGAGATCTGGCTGATCGGGCGTGAGAACTGAGGGACCACATGTTATGGGCTGTAATTTTTAGCATATTTATTTACAAACTAGCTACTTGCACGCGGTTTCACCCGCTCTGCTCAGCTCCTATCGGTCGTAGCGAGATGTTTTATAGCCTATAGCCTTCCTCGATAAATGGACTATCCAACACAAAAAGAATTATTCAATTCGCGTTCAAACAAACAAACAAAAAAACAAACTCTTCAGCTGTATAATATTAGTATAGATTCCCGGACTCGTTCTACAATCGTTTTTAGACTACTACTAAATCCTGGGATCACGAATTCCGAGTTTGCTCCCTGAGTTCACACATATAGTACATCCTTCGTGTAGGTTATATCTAGATAAAATACCTAATATGTTAACTTTGTGAGCTAGCAACTAGCACATAGCTAGCGCCCTGTTTGAGTCACTCGCAAACTATCCCCTGGGTTCCCTGACGAGGATATTCTAATCTAAAAATAGAAAAGATTAAGTATCTAAATACTTTTTAGAGAGAATATTATGAGTCTGTGTTATTCAGAAATATAACAAATATTGTCTCGTGATATTTCCTCAAAAACATCTATATTGATTTTCTGTTACATCTTGATTGTGTATAATTATTTTCCTGTTTTTAATAAAGCAGTGCTTAGTTGACTGCAAAGTACAGCTGCTGAGAAAAAGTTACACGTGACTAAAAACAACACTTCTTTCCATAACATACCTGACGACAAGTAAGAACATTAAAATGGACCTCTGCCTTACTCTTCAGAGAATAACAAGAGTGATGTTTAAGTTAATAAAGTCATAAATCGATCCAAGCTCAAGTATTATATGGACAACGTTAGGTAATTAAGCGTCGAGGCCGGGTCCACATCTCGTCGCGCGCTATTCCAGCTATACTGAGGACCTCAGTATTAGCATATTCATCTGCGTCGTCCTGCGATCAAACGATTACAATAATAGCTCGGCATTTGTCCGCGATATAAATACTCTTATCTTAGGGATAAACACGGTTTGCTGTTGACGTGTTCATTATAGTTAATTGTTATTGCATCACAAGGGTATCAGATCAGAAAGCTTATAGTTTTAGAAATCGGAGTCAACTGCAGGTTAGAGCTAGATATTTTAGAATAGAACTGTACCTACTAGGTTGTCCGTGAAAATTAATAAGTCCTATTTCAATACAGTATTTAAAAACGGTACGATGATAATATTATGTGCACGTTATTAAACTATCTATACATATAGGTATTTATTTAGGTATTTTTTTAAAGGGGAAAATCATCGAATGACTGCTCCCGCCTGGGTGAGGCGGGAGGGAGTGTCAGACTCTTACTGACTAAAAACCACCCCGTCCCTTCTCCTGCACGTCGAGCCGGAGCCCCGGTAACCCGTTAGGTTCTCCGCGACTAGGTATTTAGGTATAGCTCTCTCCATTTGTTATCGTTGTGATACTTTTATTTTAGCTCCGGATAAAAAATTAACAGATTACTTAAAACAAACAAAATATACGAGTTAATCATTTATCTCTGTGACTAATTACCACAATAACACATTCTATGTACACGTAAAATCCTTGACAATTTTAAATCGGAATATACAAAAAAATAACAAAAATCTTGTTTCTACAAAATTAGCTACAATACGTAACGCAACCAGTTATTATAGGTAATAATTCGGCTAGTTGTATTAAGTAGACTTAGACTTATATACATATATTATGTATTTATATGTATATAAGTCTGCTTTTTTTTAGGAAAATCATTGAATGCCTTCTCCCTCCTGAGTGAGGCGGGAGGAAGTGTCAGACTCTGTCTACTCCTGCACTTCGAGCCGGAGCCTCAGTAACCCGTTAAGTTCTCCGCGGCTCCGTATATCGGCATCAGCCTTATAGGGCCCCATCCGTGGTGGTCTGAGGGCTCTTTGAGGCGAGTGATGAACGCGACGCACCGTTCGCTCGGGTCTGGTTCTGGTCAGACGGCGAGCATGGGTGGCTCGCACTTTTTTTACCTCTCCGAAAGTCCCCAATGCAGTGCGAAGAAATGGTCATGTTAAATGTGCAAATAGTTATCTAAGTAAGCCAAGGGACAATACAATACTTAATAAACATTAATAAGAAGTTGGAAATCGCAGTGTTTCGCAAGTAGTCGTAGTGTTGAATGGTTAATATGATGGTTGTGTACAGTGTGTTAACAAACGACAGAGTAAAGAGCTGCACTACAATGTGTTTACAATGCGCAGGTAGCATCTCTTATGTTGTGCGAGTGCACAACCCACACATGTCACTCGGGAGATGGTTTGTAATTCATCCCCTAAATATTGTACATCGTCACCTAATTGCTGTACAACACTGCGCCGTGTATGACTGGAATTATGTAGTTTTTTATATAAATATTGATGGTAAAGTGATAGGAAGCACCTCCTCCATACACCGTAACAAGTAAGATGTGTTTGTTGACAGAGAAGAGGTGAGCTGTCGTGTGCCATGAGTCCGACCATTCCGAGCGTCTGCGGCACAACGACTCCGCGACCGCGACACAGGTAGACAGAGCCGTCCTCAGCCACGCAGCAGTTTGCAGACACACGGGACGTAACTACAGACACATACGAAGTAACACGCGTCAAACATGGACGTGAGCACGCTGGCCTCCCTGACGGAGCTGGAGAACGTGACCGAGATGTTCAATATGGCGGGCAACATGAGCCACGCGGGGAACAGCACTGCGCTGGGCGCGCCACACAAGACCATGGGCAAGTTCGGGGTGCTAGTGAAGGTGGTATACGCCATCGGTATCATCGGCAACGCATGCGCCATCATCGCGCTGCGCCGCGGGGAGCGCCGCGTGCGCAACAGGAAGCATCTACTGCTGCTCACCTCGCTTGCTGCCAATGACCTCGTAGCGCTGGTGAGTTCCACGATGTACTACTTTATTATCACTGCCTGCACTGCCTGCACTCTCTGCTACTGTTGCATTGAAAACGTACGATGCGCGCAGTGGTCAGTCTGTGCAACTGTTATTAAATTACAAATAATATAATGAATAATTTGTATTACGTACCTGTTCAGTAGTCAATCCACTATAAATAAATACACTTCATTAATGCCCTAACATAGCATAACGAACAAATAGGACATTAACTCCAAACCAAATAAGTTAAACTTTTGCCCGAAGGGAAATCTGTCTGTATGTAGAGGTAGGATATTTGAATTGAAGTAGGTACCTTATTATACCGTACATAGATAATAATAAAATATGTTCTCTTCCGCATCTGTCTGTATGAACGTGTCAAACTCATAAACGACTGCTTTTAGTTACCAATAGGTTTAGGTATAGGTGAATAGTTTATAGTGTTGGTTGACCGCGCGGGCGAATACGGACCGGACGGAAACCTACGTAAAAATAGTTGTATTTGTAGGTACAATGTACATTGTAGCGTAAACGATGAACAGCTAGTAATAAATTAAAATATCTTTGTAAATAATTAATTACATAAGTAGAAATCCGTAGCACAGATGAGAGTGCTGAACTAAAAACATAACGTTAGAGTTTAGTGCCTGTTTTACCTTTTTTGCTAACAAACCATACACAAGACGCCGACATGAGCTGTAGAAGACTTTTGGCATAACATTTCTTTTGGCATAGCTTTTTACATCTCATACTATACCAAGATGAAACCCTAATTTGACTAGATAGACCAAGATCCAGGACTCGACGGACGTAAGTTATTTACTCATGAACAAATTACGTATCATTGAGTGGTGGATGGTGATACTCCGAGTTGCCAATGATTGGCTATTAGACTACTAGACTATCTAGTTACTAGTTACACTGAGCCGACGACCAATTTTATGTTCTACTGCTCAATGGTACCTAATCTTTTATATAAAAAATACGTCTGGCGATCCTTGAAGCTCTTAGTAAGACAATAAAAAATTCAAACTCGAATAGACACAATACTTTTCTTGACAATCGGGTGCGGAAACATTTACAGACGGAACATGATATACATTATAATGCGTATCTAGTGGTGGTGGTGTCGTCATACAGGTGCGAAATTGTCTAGTAACATCTACCTGAAGTACTGCTATATTTCCTCCTAGCTTTAGAACAAACGTATATGTTAACCATATCGCAGCTATTACAACGAGCAACGGCCAATTGTCTCCTTGTATTCATTAGTAAATGTTATAGAAGTTTTAAAGACAAACGACTCAGTAAAAAGAGTACAAAGCATACAGGGGCTCAGGGTGGAGTACATCACTTTATGCACTTAAATAGTAGTAAGTATATATTTAGTACGCAGTATTATACTGCCATGATATGAGCACAGAGGCGATAGGCTTCGTGATGAGCCTCGTTTACGGCCACTGCCGCTGTTTATTTGATTAAAGCTATGAGCAGTCTATTACGTACCCATTACTATTACTCGAAGTAATTTATTGTTACTTGGGACAAACGAGGGCGGAGCTCTCATTTGTAAATATTATGTATCTACTTAGCAAGTACCAATTAATGGCAGCGAGACTAGGCTATGCACTGTGTTCCCACCCTCCCTCTGTGTGATTGGTGCAACGCCACTGGATTGAATAGTAACACACGCGCCAGCACCAGGAGTTTGCATCTTTAAAGTCTAGGATTCTTTCAATCATTAGGTATTTCCCATCTCGTTCTTACTTCTCTGATCCCAGACAGTGAATTACTACCAGCTGTGTGTGTGCAGGTGGGCATGATGTGCGCGATGCTGGTGGCGGAGCACGTGCCGGGCGTGGGCAGCACGCGCGCGTACTGCGCGGCGCGCGTCGTGCTGCGCGTGTTCGGCATCGGCTCCGTCTGCATCGCCGTCACCATGGCGCTGGAGCGGTACCTCGCGCTGACACGGCCCTTCCTCTACCAAAAAGTAAGTTACTTATTCTAGGTATATTTAACTAGTGACCCGCAGCTGCCTACCCCTGCATCGCATCGGTAGGGTCCGGAGCTATAAACCATTTCAAGACGAAAAAAAATTAAATATCAAGTCGGTCGTACAGCGGTAGGCAATCGAAATTGGGACTAGTTAGGTAGAGGCAATCTTAGACTAGCGCTCGGCAGTCGGCACTGCCGCACGTATTTCATAGTTTGCAAACAAACACTGTGTAACTACCATGTAACTACTGTAATATTTATGTATACATTTGTATCATAGATTCAATATTGGAATATAACATTACTAGAATGTTAAGACAATAATAAAATGTGTATCAATAAAAAATAAAATATGCAAAATGTTTTGATGGACGGACGTCACTCGACTCTGCGAATGAAATCATCGACATATTTGTTATTTTTACGAGTAGATGCAGATTGATGGGGATCAAATAGGCTGCCCTGCTCTAGATACATACTGAACTGCCCGGGTCGAGACAAACGCCCTGCTGTCGACACCTGGACTGTGTGATCAAAGTTCACGAATAAATTCCTCAATGCGTACATACTAGGAATTTGTAAAATAATGTTTTACAGAAAAATCTGATATACGCTTATTAAAATAATGATAGTCACCAATAACAAAAATTCCCCAGATGGACTCGCACCACAAGTTAAAGACGAATCTGATATCAACTCAAACCTTATCACTAAACTGTAGGAGCAAGAACTGGTAAGCAATAGCTCGTCTGCCGTTATCAATGATTGTGATTTGTGACAGCCTGCTACTGCGACCAACTCGACGGAAGCTCCCAATACTCATTACATATCGATTTGCCAAACAATACTTGTTACAAAGTCTGTTAGCAAAATCTGAGATTAGTCGCCGGCAGATAACACGAGTGCGTACATAATATTGTACGCATACACTACCCGTACATATATATTACATTATTGTTTATGTAGGCCGCCAGGAGCTGTAAACCACAATATACATACCTGTAATCATCGGTAGATACACTTCCTCCCATCTCTCTGCATACATCTCTACTTTAATAGTCAAATAGTTGCAATCATGTTCAATTGCATGTTTTTTTTATTTTATTTTTTTAAATTGACCGACAGTATACACCCTCTATTTCGTCGTGAGACGTAGGTGCGTTTACAAACATACAAGTTCACATACACAATGACACCCAGACCCAGACCCGGAACAACAATCTGTGGATCACACAAAGAGTTGTTCCGTGCGGGAATCGAACCCGCGACACGCTGCGCGGCCGCTAATTGGCCAACCACCGCGCCAACCGTGCAGTCGAGATAAAACAGATATAGTATTCCGAAGGAGTTCTTCGGTTGCACTCAAAGCACCAACATCATCTGCTAACGATTACCTGGACATACAAATTGCAGTATTAGCCGGTCGCGACTCATTCTGCATACTTCATTACACATAACTTATTTGATTGAAATAGTACTTTGTGTCGTATGTGGTGATTATTGCTTAAAGTTTCCTTGTCTTCGAAGCCTTGTCCCCTGTGTAGCAGGGCAGGGCGAGGCTGGTGGTGGCAGGCTCGTCCTCGTAGCTGTCAGTACTCTAATGTAATATTTCAGCTGAGTGCACGCGGCGCCGACACCCGCTCGTCTCATCGACAGCGATCAAATCAAATACACTATTATATTTAGCTTGGAATACTCGGCGCGGGGCGGGACGGGACGGGACGGGACGGGACGCTTGTATTTATTACATGTTTGTTTTGTTACACCGCACGTTATGATCATCACACTAACTGTTATTACCTACCTATCCAGTAAAATAACCATTTAAGCAATACATATATCTGTTTCCATTGTTTGTTGCTCTCTGTATGAGAACTGTGAGGTGTGTCGCACATTAATCAATTAAAGCTCGTTATCTGGCTTCTTAATGGAGGAGTCTCCACCGCGCCACGACGACATTATACGAGCTATTTCTGTTATTAAGTACGTAGGCAGGTATAGAGTGGGGAGTGAAAGTACTTACTTTGAGATATTCTTGGTAATAGGTAACATACCGAGGGATATGAAGTGTGGCAGTTCATTAGTGTTAATGGTTCGGCTGACGTGTGTGCGAGCAGTTCTCTTGTATTGCCCAATAAGGTGCTGGAGGTTATCATCACGATCAGCTCCAGGAATGGCACATTGTTCGCGACCACCTGCCACGCGGCGCCCAGCCTGACGTCACACTTGCGAATTAGTACTACCTTACATATTAATACAATATTATGTATATTGTATGTAACACACATTACAATAATATTATGTTGTTATTTCATTTAGGTGCATCAGAATAATCATCACCTTAAAAGGGTAGGCTGCCATTAAATCCGTCAATGCACTGTATTGGTGCATGAAGCCTAAATTAATAAATAGTTAAATAGTGACTCGTACCTGTGAATAATGCGTGAAGCAAGATACTAACAATTGTCTCTTCAGGAACGCATTTATCGTAGTGATCGTAATAATGATTATATTGCTTATCGGGTACCTTAGGGGTACAATTTTCAATTAAAATCCTTTTTAAAGATCAGAAGCAGATGGTAATGTAAATGTAAACATTAATCAGTTACCTATCATAGGTAGGTAAATGTTGAAAAGTTAGTATTTTAGGGGGGGGGGGCGAACCTAGACTTACCAATTTACCACATTTCATAAATCGGATACAGTTTTAGGTTCTGTGCGGAGATTAGATTGAAGCTAGGTTTTAGGTTTCCCTTTTCTCCTCACGAGTCGTACAAATACTCTCAGCAGTGTATAACATCGCATTATAACTGTATCAGTCAATAGATATGTAGGTAGCACTTTCCAACAACACAATAACGAGTTTTATTTTTGAATATCTTCAGAAGAGATTTATGTGTTATTGAATTCAGATCGATATTTTTAGGTCACTCGCTTGATACCGAAACTGATACGAGGAAAACAAACAAAATAATACAAACGAGAACTTCATAAAAATTGTTTCCTTGTTGTCAATACAACACGGGTCGGAGTAAAGGTGACAGCACACATTGATTCGATATCCGTCAGTACTCAGTCGGGTCGCTGCGAGCGCGGCCGTCTGCCGCACGCATAGGGAAGGAATTCACAATAGAAAATATACCCACTTATATCTATGTCTCTCAACTGATCAGGTTTCGCTTCTGTTCTCACATTTATAGGGGAGACAAATGGATACCGACACAGTTGTACCGTAATTAATGGCTATACAACTTTGCCCATGTATTGGTTGAAAGCTTGAACCCTTGGTACAACGTCCATGTTTCTGATCGATATTGTTTGGGACATATTTGTATAGTCTTCAATGTTAGCTCTTCCGAGATTGGATGCGGAATCAATACATGAGATATCTAACATATCAAGTAACATAGAGTGCACTGTGCAGGTGAGCCCATATTACCATACCCGGCCTGGTTCCATTCATTACTCGCCGCTGCGCGTGCGCCACTGCGTTGGGAACCTGTGTGACACATCTCACGCGGACAACACTTCAGATACTAATCTCTTGAAAATATATTGAACAAAGTATTTGCTTAGATTAGTTTGCATTGCCTACTTACCTCCGTGTGAAGATGTAAAGCATTTATTTTAATGTTCGATGCATTATTTGTAATGTCGATTTACAATGTTAGTAACCGTTACATTAGGTCCATTTTAGTTCGGACGGATCAAGCCAGGCATCAGTACTGAGCACAAGGCTCAAACTAGACTCAATCCTTACTTTAATTGGCTGGCTTGGGTGAAGATTTTCAAGAGTGTTAGTTGAAAGAGACTCGGGGTAAGAATAAAGAATGTATGACTTCATTTCATCAAATTCCTGGGATTGCTCTAAAGCCGTGGAATGTCCTTTGCCTTTCTTTCACTAAGCAGGCCCAATTACCCCCCCCGCCCCCTCCCCCAATCTCCCCAATTCCTGAATCCCCAACGATTCTCAAACTCCAAATCCCCAAAAGGCCGGTAACGCAATTGTAACGCCTCGGATGTTCGAATGCTTACCATCAGGTAATCCGTCTGCTCGAATACGGGGTTATGTCATAAAAAAAGCAGCTGAAAGTATGTCACTACTTATGTTAACGGCTGTTCCGGGGACCTATAAATGGAATTTGGCAGTCACCTCCTGCTTGTTTATCTGTATACTATTGGTCGTCGTAATAGTCCATACTTATCCAGAAAATACATTTTTCTATAGCACCACTTGGGTGCACTTCCGTAGTGCTCAAATAGAAATGATTCACGGCTGATTTCATCTTATTATTATTCAACGGGGCTCTAGAAGTCCGCTCAATCCTTCTGGACTCCGTGATCCTGTGAACAGAAACACCCTACCGACTAAGTGACGATGTAGTAAACACGGCTCGTGACGTCACAACGAACTGCGTACCTCTCAAATATTTGGGAAATGAGTGACTTTAATAAGTATTCAGCTGTGAGAACAACAACAGGCGTGAATATGATGGTTGTGTAACAAACAAATAGGACGACGGACGAGGCGACTCCCTCAAGTCATTAGAATTTGTAATTGTGTGATCATCGCATCCCGACCGTTCTGTTTCGAAACTTTTCATAGTTTACATCATTTATGTCTTCTGTCTGCTAATACTAGGTAACTTACTGATTACTTTTGTGGACACCATTTTGGAAAGTTAACTAGTAGAATGACCCCAACACGACCCTCGTATGAGGTGACGGAGACTTTGTTCAGTAGTGGATATCATCCGGCAGATGATGATGAAGTGGTTTGTTGTTGCAGCAAGTGACGTACTACGTAATCCGCACGGCGCTGCTGGTGTCGTGGTTCTGGGCGGCGTGTCTGACGTGCGCGCCCATCCTGGGGCTCGGCCTCTACTACGACGGCTCCAAGTGCGTGCGCTACAGGAACGCCGAGACTCCCACCGACCTCGCCTATGCCGTCTTCTACGTCGCCTTCGGTCAGTTTAGCATAATATTATGAACTAGCGCTTACCTGCGAAATTGCCAGCTTTTTGTAAGAAATTTACTACCTAAAGTTATCTACGAAACTACTCAGTTCAAAGTTTGAAAATGCTGATGAGGTGAGTTGCTTGCCTATAATGACTATAGGAGAGCCTATCACTTAAAAAATCCACTACAGGTTCAGTTCAGATGTAGATCCTAAACCTACTGATATCTGTGTCTACCTAGGCACGGGGTTGGCCACAATGTCTACAACACATTATGTGTTCAGTTTGATTAGTTGGCGTGTGTGTGTGTGTGGCAGGCACGGTGCTGTGCCTGGTACTGGTGTACTGCAACCTGGCGGTGATCCGCGCGCTGTACGCCATCACGGCGCCGCGCGGCTCGCAGCCCGTGGTGCGGCGCGTGTCCAAGTCCAGCTGCCGGCAGCGCGCGCGCGCCGGGCCCGCGCCGCACCATCACAACGCCGCCACCGCCGAGGAGGTCGCCTTCAGTCGCCTCATGGCCACGCTCTCCGTGCTCTTCATGATCTGCTGGCTGCCGCAGATGGTGAGTCTTTGTAATTCCTTCAACCAACAAACTCCCTGCCCTAAGTTAATAAACTTACCAGGGCGGGTCAATAAGTCCGTGACTTTTTGATTTTTCCGCCTCTTAATTGAAATGGCAACACTGCTCCCGTCAACAGTCATCTGTCAGGTGACTCCTGCCAAAAATTGAACAAGCTGTGACATTTAGTTTGTTTTTAACAGTCGTTAATATCAGACTACCGCGTTGACTGAGAAGAAAATGGAAAAAAGTGAATTTCGTGTGCTCATTAACCATTATTTTTTGCGGAAAAAATCCATTACGAAAACCAAGGCTATGATTGATAAATATTATGGGGACTCTGCACCATTCATTTCCATGGTAAAAAAGTGGTTTACTGAATTCCGATGTGGCCGTACCAGCACGGAAGATGCCGAACGTTCTGGAGGCCCAGTTGAGGTCTCCACATCCGAAATAGCTGAAAAAATACACGATATGGTTTTAGCCGATCGGCGATTAAAAGTGAGAGAGATTGTAGAAGCCATAGGCATCTCGCATGGCTCAGTGGTTTTAATTTTAAACGATTATTTGGGTATGAGAAAGCTCTCCGCAAGATAGGTGCCGCGTTTGCTCACAATCGACCACAAACGCAAGCGTGTGACAATTTCGCAGGAATGTTTGGCGTTGTTTAATCGCAATATGAACGAGTTTTTGCGCTGATTCGTAACCGTGGACGAAACGTGAATCCACCACAACACACCGGAGACCAAACAGCAATCAAAACAGTGGGTTTCTCGGGGTGAATCGGCGCCAAAGAAGGCAAAGGTGGGTTTGTCAGCCAATAAAGTCATGGCGACTGTTTTTTGGGATGCACGCGGTATTATCCACATTGACTACCTTCAAAAAGGAAAAACAATCAATGGCAAATATTACAGCAACTTATTGGGTCGATTCGATTAGGCATTGAAAGAAAAGCGACCGTACTTGCCCAAGAAAAAAGTCCTTTTCCATCAGGACAATGCACGGGTGCACACATGTGCAGTTTCTATGGCAAAAATCCATGAATTTGGCTACGAATAGCTCCCTCATCCGGCCTATTCTCTCGATCTAGCCCCTTGTGACTACTTCTTGTTCCCAAACTTAAAGAAATGGCTCGGTGGAAAGAGATTTGCCTCCAACGACGAAGTCATCTCACAAACAAATGCCTATTTTAAAGACCTCGACAAAACATATTTTTTGGAAGGGATTAAAAAATTGGAGAAACTTTAGGCTAAGTGTATAGAGCTCAAAGGAGACTACGTTGAAAAATAAAATAACATTTTATCTAAAAAATTGTGTTTCATTTAAAAAGTCACGGACTTATTGACCCGCCCTCGTATTTCTGTGTCGAACTTGTATGATGTGGCATTTTGGCGCCATATCCAAATGTTTATACTGACATTTCAATAGGCCTGCTTTGACAGCTACTCTGGCTACAATTAAATACTTGGCGGCTGTCATCCGGTTCATCCGACGCGGTGCCGCCCAGCTCACGGCTCACTCGCCTGCATTTATATTCCGCGCGTGTCCTCGCAGCTCGCGGAGTGGGTGACAGACAGTGACACCTGGTGCCGACCTTGAGCTCGGAGTACAGCCGGTACTACCGCGTGTAACGTCCGCGAGATGCAGTGACTCACCGCAGCGATGCGGTACGAGCACTGCTTCACCTGCAACTTTGTACTATTCTCATTTGGCATGAGATCGGTTTCATAACAGCCGCAGGAAATAATGTGCAGTTTGTTTTGTACAATATACATATTTGAAACAAACGGCATAGTTAATAATTTAAAACAATGAAACATAGTTGTTAACTACGAATGCCAAATTGTTAATCTAATGTACAACTATCTATTATAACGCTCACAAATATCAGTGGTTACCAAACTTGTCTAGGCTACGACTCATGTAAATCAAGTTCCCAAACTCATGACCCACCTTCGGAGAAATATACCGTTACCAATATGAAAAAGAAAATACAGAAACGGATGGTTATTGCATCTACAGACAGACAAGGCCCACTAAATATTCGCTTGAGACCCACCAATAGGTGGCCATAGTTTGGAAAACCCTGCTATAGATATTTTGAAGCCAATTGAGAAACCCTGACGATTATCATATGACATTAGCTTTATATCTGTGCATTAACGGCTATTATGGCCACCTGGCCATACTGGCAGAGTTCGTTGATATTTACCTAAATATCGACGAACTCTTGGCAAACAAATTCAGTACAACTGATGTTACCACCGACCTATGATTGGTTATCAGGAATTAAGTACCAAGTATTTAGTTTCGAAGCTGCGGAAGACTTGGTGGGTTGCCGGGGTTCCGGCTCGAACCAGAAGTAGAAACCGAGTGGTATTTAGCCATCAAGAGTCTGCCACACCTTATTGTTTCACTTAAGGCGGGAGAAGTTGAATGATTTTACCCCTCAAGGAATAAAGTGTTACTTAGTCATAAACAAACAATAAATGTAAACAATCAGCAGTCGATATTATTAGCGCTACATTGTAAGCAATGAAGCATGCATCGACTGGTGATGTGTCCCACAGTCTCAGTGTACACCACATCTGTGTGTAGTGGACTGCCACTGACTGGTACGTCGCCGAGCGCCCGCGTTACAACCAAAATGTCTTATCAAAACGAAAGCTCGAAGGAGAAACCAAAACACCAGCGTAACACCACGTGATTTATTGTAGATCTGTAGCATTGTCCAACAACAACATTCCTATTCCTCTGCTCTGTGCAATTATCATGCAAGGCACGTCGCAAACATTGGCGAAAAATATTTCATTGTTTCTCAAATGGTAAACGAATTAAATTAGAATTTTATTCATATGAGCCTACAACGACGTCCGTATACAGAACTAGTGCCCACTTCATACATTAGACAATTATATTCCAGAGAAGGCACACGCAATAAACACATACGCTTACTTAATTCCAATTGCCTCTTTACATCAATTCGTATCATCAAATTCCCTGATTATACGAGTAGGTATCTGTTCTGTCAGTGCTGTCAAGCTGTCACGCTGTCTTCACCTGCTTACACACTTCTTCTCGTCTTCTTAGCGATCTGTGTGTAGGTGATAGAATAATGTTCTATTGACCAATGCGTATAACGCTAGTGTCCGTAATTCAGTACTACTAACTAGGCTATTTGTAAGATGTCATTTCGAACTCTCGAAGTGAGCTCGACCGCGGTTCGCCATGTGCGAATGCGATCGAGGTCACTTCAAGAGTTCGACTTCTTACAGAATAGCCTAGCTCAGGGCTGTCCATACTATATACCCTCGCGGGCTAATTAAATTTCTTAACAAAACTGGAGGTTCAGAAAAATATTTTCAGTTGTATTATGACATTATACATTGTGTTCTTTACTCACAGACAAAACTTGTATACAAATCATACACTGAATTTTATTAGCGTTGTTGCACATAAGATGAAGATGTTGAGTTGAAAATGTGTGTTGCGGGCCACATGAAATAAGCTGCGGGCCGCATGCGGCCCGCGGGCCTTTGTTTGGACAGCCCTGGCCTAGCTGGTACCCTGGTACGTATCCCTAAAATCCAGAAAAATTAACATCTTCTAGTGACAGCAGTACCTACTGTAGTTCTCTAACATTTAACTAATTATTGTAAAATTTAACTTTACATGCCGAACACAGTAGGCGATGTAAGTGGAACTATTTTTTATAATTATTATCAATACTATCATCTGTAACAAATAAACGTTCCTATTCCTATTCTTATTGTAGTTTTTCTGATTACAAAACTGACGAATCTGGTTTCTAACTAAGAAAAGGCCCTAATCCCTGCAGATAAAATTAGCGAGTAGCGCTCCATCTCGAGTGGGACGCCATCGACATGTCGTCTATTATCTTTTACAAAAATTGATATCGTTATTTTAACTTCTCCCTCTCCATGGCATGTTGGCAATGTTGGCAACATTGTTGGCGATTGAAAACATTTTAAAAACATTGCCGGCTGTGCATTAGGGATTGCATAGAATTACCTACAGGAAAAGTATGAACTAAAGAGAGTATGTATGGAATACTGTATTCTACAGATTGCCGGTAATAGTTAGAGCCATGTCTTCAGTACGTAGTACGGTACAACTTGTGTTCGAGACTGCCTCGGAGATCGAGCACGCGGCGTCGGCGCCGTCGATGTTGCTGCTAATTGATCAATTGCCTTCATTGATGTCCTGTCGGGAGCGCTCAATAACAACTGCTTAATGTGTTAACTTTCAGGATTTCATAGTATAAAAATATTATTTTGTGCTGTGTGCTGTGACAATTAAAAATATAATGTTTGTAAGTGTTTCTGTTATTTGGAATTACACCTACATCCGATCTTATTTTTAACTATAACGGAGGTGAGGCTGCCTTGTATATCAGTGTCCTATTAAGCACACTCTCGTGTCTGGTGGACGTGTACGTGCAGTAAATAACCCGATTTAATGGTGATTCTGCTCTGGTCCGCAGCTAACGTCGGCGCTGTTCCTGGGGCTGGGCCCGCGCACGTGGCCGCGGCTGGCCCCGCTCTCCATCCTCTCCGACATCCTCATGCTGCTCAACTACGTGCTCAACCCCATCCTCTACGTGCTCATGCGGCAGCGCAGGCGGTTGTCACTCACCAACCTCTGTCACTCCATCGCGCACTGCTTTAAGCGAGTAAGTGCTATGTTTACCACGTTCCTCTTGTTCCGCTTAGTGCAACGCTAATAATAAGGACCAGTCGATCTGAAAGCGAACCACAAATACAACGGCTGCAAATGTAATGAATAATCATTACGACCAACAGGACACAACACGATGAGTGCATCACGCAGACACTGGTTTACAAGCTTTTATTTAGATTATTTATAAGTAAATCTGCGCAACTTGACTCGGTGGTAGAGAAATCGATTATAGATACCTGCCCAGTAGTAGTTAGGTAGCTACTAGTCTACGGTAGAAAGAAGTTAATTCAGTTTTGAACTCCAACAGAGCCATAAAACGTCGACGGAGTCAGTGTCGATGAAGGCGTCGTGCTGCCCACAAGAGACAATGGTGGTGAGCGACAGCTCGGGCGCGGAGATGCGGCCGCTGCGGGCGCCCGTGTCGCTGGCGCCCTACGACACGCAGCACGCGGCCTGACGCACCCTGCCGGCGACACACATCAATCAAACGACAAATCTGATCACGACTATCTATTAGTAACAATAATCACTCTCTGGATAACGAATGCATCTCTTAAAGGCTGCGAAACAACACAGTTTTTGAGATGTCTGGATTATTCGTTTAACTTGATACATTGCAGAATGTGTTAAGTATTATGTCTAAAAGCAGATGTTTCTCCCGCATTTCCATGACCAAAGACTACAATCATGCTACTGATTGGTACTTGATATTTTCGTAACACGCACTCGAGTCTTCACTTGTTCAGAGCAGTGCAGTGTGCAGTCAGATGCACAAGGACGAGCACGCACTCTCACCCACTGTCCCTGCTGTCGAGACTGTGGGCTGCAGGAGCATCTCACAACTCTGACATATCTGCAGACTCTAGTGTTGATATTGCTCCCTGTCATACAGGCTATGTAGGTAACTGTTGTAGATATAAGCAATTTCTGTAAATATAGTAAACATAATATTATTGTACTTATAGTTTTACAAATTGTATTTTCTATTTTTGTATTATTAAATTACTAAATAGTGAAACTTATATTGTATAAGATAAATACCTATAATACATGGAGTACAGAGTGATATGCGCTGTATAGGGTAACAGTAAAGTACAATGGTTACAGCAGCACCACCTAATATTAATGCAGATTGATATGAACACCTTCATCCCCACCTTCAGAATATAAATATGTTTTTTTTAAATAGTTTTCTTATTCTCCACGGACTCCTGTCCGTGCTCTCATTTTCAATGAATATTATATAAGTACGAGTGTCGGGGTTTGTTAGATTTAGTCACAACGAGTCACAGCATTTATTTCAATTTGGTAGTTTCCAGGGTATCAAAATTAAAAATGTTATTAGTCCGTCAGTTAGACAATGAAAAAAATATTAGACACGTATTTTTTATTTTCTCGTTATAAGTTGCAATACTTAGATAAAATGACGCTAAGAGTGGCTTTAAGAGTGGGAGATCGTTACGTCATAACGTGTTACAAAAAGTGTCATGCTGTGACGTCACACGATATTTCAAATTAATAATATCGTCGAAAGTATTTAATTTTGTGAGAAAAGAAAAAATATGTGTCTCAAGTTTTAAATGAATGTACCAGACGGACATTAAAATAAAATTTAGGAAACTACCCTATTATATACACCCGACTCTCGTTATTTCAAAAAATCTAAACTCAAGTAACATATTAAAACATGTGTTCGAAATATCAAACGGTTCGTTTGAAGTACCCTCGAAATGTAGATTCTAATTCTAAATTGTTTAAGACTTTTTATTCCAAAATCTTTTAAATTACTAGCAATACAATCTTTGTCAGGCCAACCTGACTCGTTCCTTCTTATTCAATTAACATTCTTAAGAATAATAAACCTATATGATTTTATAAACGAATGTACTTATGTGTTTGCACAATAATACTTATTACACTATCCGCATAGCTCCGCAAGTTAGTGAAGTTCTGCAATGTAGATACCATTGTAGTAAATACATGTCGTTGTACAACTTCTTCAAGTTACAGAGTTATGTTTATGAGTTTTAACTTAACAAATATAACTGTGTAATTGTGTAAACACGTAGGTTGGTACATTTTACCACCGCAAATAAGTTATATGTATTTTATCGTCGCAAAAAAGTACAATCATTGAAATTTCGTGGGATAGGTACCCTTGAACATGCGCCTATGACGAACTAGAAAAGAGCTGTTAACTTTTACCGAATAAATAAATAAATATAGTAACCGACTAGTCTCAAATAAGTAGTTACCATATCGTTGCTTTATGTACATAGTATTAAATTAGGTTATAGATTGTATTTTCTTAACAAATAATATAAAATGAAATGAAACCTTTATTTGTATTGTTATATGTATTGTATAATTTGTACAACAACCCGCTATTATAGGTATTATAATAATTATGCTCTCTGTTACCATAAGTTACACATACCTAGGTAGGTACTATTTCACTTACATTGGGAACAAAGTGTAGATTTTCAAATAATCCACACGCGTTGACAATTAATAAACCAACGAACTTATATAAGCAGATTTAGAGATTAAAATTGTGTACCTAGACCTGTTTGTACAATGGCAAAAGGTTGTCTTTCAAACCACTTGCGATTACGGCATCATGATATGTCAAACCATTAAACACATGGATATTATATGTTTTAAACTGTTCTAATATTATTTGTGATGTGGACAGGAAACACTGTACATACGCTTTAATAGGTTAGTACATTATTTATAACCAGTCGAATCGTTGAATACAACCCTTAAGATATATCTACCAGATTGTTTTATTTGGAGGAACTCAACCACGGAACCATGCTGTTCCGTGATTGAATTATTAGTTCCAACTTACCCAATCACCCTCTCATATGCTATGGCAAAGTAGATAGATAATAATACTTATGTACCTATGTTTTTATAATACCTAACTATCGTGAGACATACTAAATTAACTAAAAAAGCGTGTTACTCACGTGAATATACTGAGAAAAGCTCTACTAGTTATAAACTTATGTATAAGTAAATACGTAGAAATTGAGAATATTCTCAGGTCTTTTTACCGCAAGCCTATTTTTATGTAGAAATCATCTAAACAAAATTCGTATCTGTGTGACATTCGTATCAGGTTTTTATGTATCCTGCTTAGCACGGCTATCTGTCGTAAACATTTAGCCATTTTCTTGTTTGCACCATGACTGGGTATTTATTTCGAGGAGCACTAGGAGTCGTTCATTGATCACTCTCAAGGTTCTATAGGGAATGTCGTTTAACCTAATCTATGAGGTTCAAGGCTTCTATGTATATCCAGTTAGCTTCTCGGTAAATAGTCGAAGGAGTGAGGCAGTGAGGTGTTTTTGATTTTAAACAGAAAACCGTCATACCAGACTATATCAAAAGCCTGACTTATATCTAGAAATACAGCCGAGCATTATTTTTTATTCTCTACTGTGTATCCGATTGTATCCACCAACCTGTGCGTGAACCTGTTCAATAGTTCCATGTTTTTGTCTGAACCCAAATTGGTGCCTAGGGAGAATAGTATGTACTCAGGTAATGTTGCATTGTAGTGGTGGCCCGGAGGTTTAAGACGCCCGCTTCTCATGCATAAGGGTGCGGGTTCGAAACCTGCCGACGGCAAGTACTAATGTGACTTTTCCGACTTATATGTACAATTTCTAAGATTATTTAGACACCACTGACTAATGGTGAAGGAAAATATCGTGAGGAAACCTGGGCTTATAATTTTTAATTAGGTATAAGTTTGTAATCACCAACTCGCATTGAGCAAGCGTGGTGATTAATGCTCAAACCTTCTCCGTGTAAGAAAAGGCTTTGCTTAGTAGTGGGCATTTAAAGGCTGTTAATGAATGTTGCATCCTATTAAAAAAAACTTTCTCGAACAATTCCCAAACAATGGTAGGTAGGAGACTAATTGGTCTATAAGAGGAAACTTTTTCTGGCGTTTTTCAGTTTTGTTTGTTTAATCATCATCACTACTTAAGCAAGTTCTATTAGGCTGGCTAGTGGGAGTCGTAAGCATAAGTTGGAAAGAACAACAAAAAACATTATGGGAGATTTTGTGGGAGATTGCTTAGCAGGACGGAATCCAGTTGGTCGTAGGTACCCCGGAGCTTCATTGGGTGTTAGATCTTTTATCTCTCTGTGAATCTCTCTAGTCTCTAGTCTCGCAGTAAGTCACTGCTTTTAATCGCAAACATAACTGATTTGGTGACTGCAGATAATCGGCTATGTCATATTATTTATCGGGGTCGGAACTAGGCAGTGGTGTGAAAACGTTTTCTAGATGTTCAGCAAATGGTGTTCTTTTGGTACTTTAGTCCTTTTTGTTCTGCTTTCGAAGTGGTGGGATGTGATCTTTTGGCCGCTTGAGGTTTTTGGTTGCACACCATAACGCGTAATTTGTATCCTTGTGTGCTGTGAGGCGAGACAGGTAACTTTGTAAGGTTTGGTTTTCGTGGTCCTCTTTCTCTGAGGCCCTTAAACTTCAAAAGCACGAAACGAAAGGCCGGCACGTAATCATTCAGTAGAATCATAGAGTTTAGAATCAGTCTATACTTATTATACTCTTTGGAATCAGTAGTCAGACCACAGACTTTACTATCTATACTCTATGCTATACCTACGTCAATTTCAATTGTCAGTTCACAAAGTGTCAAAGTGTCAAGTGTAGAGTGTGTACGTCTGTACGTTTACTAGCGGCTATAATGCCTTGAATGTTATAAAATCCAATTTTTTTCTATATTTTGCAAGCAATATGTTGTGTATTGTATAACAAAAAGTTAGGGATATTGCCGCTATTGAGTAAAATAGTTGTACGAAGAAAAATCCTATTAAGATGTCTAAATGGTGTGTTTGTAGAGAAGCACTATAATGTTTAGCATTGTTTAACTTTATACAGGCTGATAACTATCGTTCTATATAAGAAGTCTTAAAAACTCTGAATATGATTGATATGAGTAAGTCGTATGTGATCTAATGGTGTTGTATGATGCATGTAGGCAATCGGAGCGCAGCATCCACGAGATGTTAAAAGACACTCCGCCGCTGCGCGAATCCAGCGACTCCATCACGTCGGGCACGGAGGCCAAGTTCCCCACGTCGCGGTCCATGCCCTTCCCGCCCGCGTATGGTAAGCCGCACGCCACATCCCTCCACCACTTGCTTTCATTAGCCACTGCCTCAATTTTTGTTATCTTTGCTAATTCAGTACAAATGGTATCATATCAACCAAAATTGTCAAATTGATATTATACAGAAGTAGCTTCTTTAATATTTATAAATGCTACCACTTCTGTGACAAATGTAAAGAAGATGAATTATAGGGTCCAGTGAATGTACACAATATTATACAATGCATAGTTTGACATTTATTTACATAATAATGTGGATTTTTAGGACAGCCTCCCTAATTCTATAATGCAAATTATACCTATGTATATTATTTTAGATTCTGGAATAAAAATGATCAAAATTAGTGAATAAATAAAGACTCCCTCAATGTATGAATTCTATACTTGCATTCAACTCACAATTTGATTTAAACTGTCAAACACCAAGCGGTCACCGGTGACCGCAACCTATTGTTCTTTAATTGTGTCTATAAATACAGTACTCAACGAGTTAATGATTCCATTTTCTTTCTTCATATTGGCAACTGAGTGTCACTTTACAAGTATGTTGATGCCTTAAGTCTTATCAAAGATTAAAAACTGTAGGTAACTTATGATTTCCATATTATAAAGCTTGTTTCTTGTAAATAAACTAAAATAACAATATCTTGGTGTACATCACTGCCTCATTGGCCGAATGGTCGCAAGTGCGACTGTCGGGCAAGGGGTCTCAGGTTCGATTCCTGAGTCAGGCAAAGTATTACTGGGTTTTTCTCAGTGGTAGCATGGAGTCTGGAACTGTGCCCGGTATATGGCAATAGGTTCACCCCCTATTACATGGGACTCATAACATAAATAGTGAAAAGTGGGCGTTACATTGACATTAAGGGGCTGGGAATGATAAGTTCTGCCGCGGTAAAGCGGCAGAACTTTCATTCTAAACTTCTTCAAAATTCGTTCAACTGTTTATGCGTGAAAAAACAACAGACAGAACAAGTTATTTTCGCATTACCATAAATACCATGCTCCCATAACAACTTAAAAGACTTCACCTATCTAATATACAGACAGCTACTGTATCAATCAAACTAAACAATGAACAAAGCGACTTAAAACGACGAAAAAACAATAACTACTTTAAATAATAATATCTACCTAGAAATACACTTGACTAATCAAACCTAATATTGGGCGAGCAAAAAAAATCAATCACAGTGCTAGATGCTGACACCAAAATATAATTGTTTTTTTTTAGGATAAGACCACTAGTAATTCAGCACGCTAAGGCTGTTGACTACTTAACTGGACAAAACCGGGTTACCGGGACTCCGGCTCGACGTGCAGGAGAAGGAACGTGGTGGTTTTTAGTCAGTAAGAGTCTGACACTCCCTCCCGCTTTACGCAGGCGGGAGCAGTCATTCGATGGTTTTGCCCCATTAAAAAAAACCGGACAAAAAATGTAATTGTTTCGGAAGCTCGGAACCTATACTTTCGCCGGTAACGAAACCATAGCGCCATCTTAGTCTATTCTAACGCCAATTATCAAGCGGAGCGTTGGAACAACAGCTGTTCAATCATAGAGTTAACAATAGTTGACGCTATGATTTCGTGTACCTTTAACAACCTATAATCTATAAAATATACAAATTAATGTAAAATGGTTGGAATCAAAATTTAAAAGCGAAAAATACTTAAAAAACACAATGTTACCACGTTTTTAAAAACATCCAGTGCATCTATCGCTAAGTAGCGTAACTACTACATAGATACTAATTAGTAATTCGTTGACTTAAAAAACAGCAAATAAATGAGTCGAAAAATGCACCGAATAAGTGAGATTTCCAATTAGTAGGTAATTCGTTGACTTGTTATAAAGGACATACATACAGCGCCATCTATACACATAAACACAGCGCCATCTATACCAATATTTTTGTTTTCGCTCGGGAATATCAATTATTTCGGGATAAAAAGTACCTATCTTCTAACTTTACGTCTGTAAAATTTCAAAGCAATCGGTTTAGTTGTTACGGCGTGAAAGCGGAACAAACAAACAAACTCACTTTCCGATTTTAAATATTATAGTAAGGACTAGTAAGGATGGAATACAGTTTAAAAATAAGAATAGATATGTAAAGAAAGCATAGTCAGGGACTCAGGGAGTCTCCTTAACTCGTTTGTTGTGAACGGAGATGTTAACATAATGTGTAATGTTGCGCCAGCGCCCCCGGACGTGTCCCAGAATGGCGCCGGCTCCAGCACGCTGCTCCGCGCCGGCTCGTCCAAGCTGGACGCCATCCGGAACTGGGGCGTCTCCACATACAAGTGCACCAAACAGATACTCTATGAGAAGCTCGGCAAAAGCTCACGGACTGTGGATACGGGTGAGGACTGCAGCTATATACTATTCTACATTCAATAACAAAATAAAAAAGTATACAAAAACTTTAAAGCACCATATCCTGAAAATTTAAACATTTTCATGCAATTCAGAATCTCTAGTTTACGAAACACCTACTTTTAATTAACGTAATGGAATGTCCAATTCCAATGGGCTTGCATTGTTTTTTTAATCACACACGGACTGCTTAAAGTATTCGGGATCGACTGCTTCAAGCTGTAACTGCATCGGGGCTCCTACGTACGTACTCATACATATACGGACTGCTTGATCAGTTGACTTTAATTTAATCAAGTGAATCAACCGCATTGCTAACCGCTCGAGCAGCTATCATTGGCAGCTTCAAGCTGTTGACTCTGTCAGCAAGAGAGGTCTGTGCATGTGAATCAAGTAACTGGTCGAGCAGTCCGTGTATACCCGTAGCGCCCCGAGTGCATAGTGTCGCGTGTGTGCCGTGCAGAGCTGGAGGCCCAGATCGAGATGTTGCGCGAGACGCAGCGCAAGTACGCGGGCGTGCTGCGCCTGTCGGGGGCGCTGACCTCGCAGCTGGCGGCGGCGGCGGCCACGCAGCGCGCGCTGGGCGAGTGCTTCGCCGAGCTGGCGCAGAAGTCGCCGGAGCTGCAGACGCAGTTCCTGTACAACGCGGACACGCAGCGCACGCTGACGCGCAACGCGGACACGTTGCTGGCCGCGCTGCACTTCTTCAACAACTCGCTCGCCACGCTCACGCACAAGACCATCGAGGACACCCTGCTCACCATCCGCCAGTACGAGGCCGCCAGGTGACGACTCGATGTTATTATTATTTTTGTATTGGGACTATGTTCAATTCAGATTCGACTACCACGTTGGCCGAGTGGTCGCAAGTGCGACTGCCAGACAAGGAGTCTCGGGTTCGTTTCCCGGGTCGGGCAGAGTATTACAGGCTTTAAAAAAAAATCTCAGTAGTAGCACGGAGCCTAGAATTGTGCCCGGTTTATGGTAATAGGCTCACCCCTATTACATGAGACTCATAATATACCTAAATAGTGAAAAGTGAGTGTTACATTGTACTACACTGGCTTTCAGTTGTGTAATGTGCACGCGCGTCTAACTCTTCGGGGATAAAAGGCGTGATGTTGTTATGATTGGTTTCGATATTATATCTTGTTATATAAGTAATATACACACAATATACACCTCTATTTAGGTTCACCATTTTAGGATTACAAAGTGGGATGTTATAATGTGTAGTGTCTCTTTCCTTTCTTGTATATTCAACGACCTATTTATTGATTGAGGACAATTTTTTATAACAAAAACATTGTCTTTATGATGTAGCCTTTAGGATTCATTTTAGTTTTTACAGTACTTGGTTTTGGTACTTTTCCTCACATGTGTCGTGGGACAGTGGGGCAGTCCGTATAATACAATATAGTCGTAGTGATATTTGATGAGCTAGTATTTGAAGTGTGACGTGAGACGTGTGTCGTGTGGCAGGGTGGAGTACGACGCCTACCGCAGCGAGCTGGAGGCCAGCGGAGGCAACCCGCCAGAACTATTGCTCGCTAACATCGAGCGACATCGCCGACACTACGAGCGACTGCGGGACGACTCCGCCGTCAAACTCAAGTTGCTGCACGAGAACCGGGTCAGTACCACCCGCGCGCCCCCCTGCCCCCACCCCCCCCCCCCCCCCCCCCCTCCCCCTGCCGCGCTGACGTGTGTGTGTTGCAGGTGAAGGTGATGAACAAGCAGCTGTTGTTGTTCCACAACGCGGTGTCGGCCTACTTCAGCGGGAACCACGTCGCGCTCGAGGCCACCGTGCGACACTTCAACATCACGCCGGCGCCCGCGCCCTCCCCCGCGGGGCTGGCGCCGCTGTCGGCGCCCGCGGGCCTTGCGCCCCCGCCGGCCGCGGGGCTGGCGGCGCCGCCCCCGGCCGCGCCGCTGTCCGCCCCCCCCGCGCCGCGCCCCGCGTAGTGCGCGTCCTCTGCGCCTTTCTGTTTCACTAACATTAATATAACGTCTTTCTATTGAATAATACATCTAACGATGTATAGGAAAACCTTGGATTCAAAGTCAGTGTAACACATCTTGTTTGCCCTTAGTTCAGACTTTGAGTACTCACGGTGAGCGTGGACATACTTCGTCCGTACCGCTCTAACTATATAGTCACGAAGTACGAGTAGTGCCCGCGAGGCGAGTGCTCAGTACTACATGTCCAGCCAGTCATGTGGCTCTGCTTTTATGCATCAAATATTCAACTGTTTTAAAGGATCTCAACAATTACTGAATCAACTGCTTATTGTAAGTAAGCTGTAATCTAGCAAGTTGCTTAGGTCGTAAGAGTATTTTTGCACATAATGCAATGTACGCCTGTATCAAATAACTGGTATTCCACATTATCAAATAGACTAATTTATTATTATTCATAAGTTCTTAGATAATCGTTAATTATTATTTACTTACAGTATTATTATGTATTGCTTTGTGCTTACCTAGTTATTAAAGTATTTCAATCTTCCATAAGAAGTAGCCTGCAATGTGACCATTTTCTGATGTATTAAGCAAGTATTGTATATAGGGAATTGGTTAGATTATATGAAGTGGCCTGTATGAGTAACGTCGCCAGTTCCTCTGCGCGCGTTTTCATATCGGTAGCATACCAGTTAGGATTACTAGCATCTCAATAAGAACTCGGTAATTCATACAGTTGTTATTTTTATATTAAAACCACTTTAATCTATTACACAAGTCCATATTGCTTAATGACACCTTTGGCTTGTGGAGCCGCATTGTCCTGCTCTTAGCACTATCACCAATGGAGTGAGTTTTATAATTGAGTGTTATTACTGAATGTCTATCAAATGAATACTAGTTTTATGAATTAAATTGTGCATGTCAAATCCTGTTCATTTGCAGTTTAAACGAAAACCAAGTTGATTAAGACTGAATCTCATAGGTCGATCTCATACATTTATATTCTCTCGTGAGTCAAGTAATCAGGAAATCGTTTAGAGTGCCAATGTATGGGAGCCCTGACAGTGACAGTGATGACAATATTGCACAGAGGTAGGAGTCTCTGGAGCTCTGGAGCACATGCTCGTATGCTCGTATAGCTAGTCAAGTTATTGTTTTAGTTGATTGTACTGTCCATGTGACTTTAATATTATTTTAGAGAACTAATTATACACAATTATTATTAATGTATGACAATGTGTTTATCATATTTTATAGGAAGTGTAAAATAGATCACTGGCCTCTTTAAGCTGTTTTATTTGCACCTTTTTACATTTATGTAGGTATTGGTGAATACCACATGTGTACATTGTGCATGTAACATTATTAATACACATATATAATTATTAAGAAGCTTTGAAAAAACTAATGACTACAGATTTCAAACCTGCAACCCTCATGTATTGCTAACTGTTTTGGTCAATAAGTAGCTAATCATCAATACCAACAACATTGTGTTGTAAAAAAATATAATATTAAGAAAATAGCAACAAGTGGTGATTTAAAAGAGGTAACATGAATGAAACTAGAGAATATAGTTGAACAACTATATTAGGTCCCACGACTAGTGCAGACACCTGTCTGTGCCTGTGTTGTCGGCTCATTCTGTGGCTGCTTACCATTGTACACTGTACATACTTTATGTCTTCAGAATGTTATGCTCTCACTGCTTCTCTGTTGCTGTCAGCTTTATGTTTTTCTTCATTTTCTGCCTTTAACTTTTCCTGTAAATACAACAATAATATCCACCATTAGGTACAAGAACTCGGGCAGATAATTTTTATACCTAGGTATCAATATTGTCAAGGTAATTACATTAATAGCATTATTTGTATATATCTATTAGGTTAGTACACTGAATAACTTGTTTATAAAATAAGTCATTAGTTAGGTAAGCTGGTTACAAGAACAGTGGAATAACGAATACTAACTACATCATAGATAACCCTAACCACCAGTGAGCAGCTTGGACAGGTTGCAAGTTCCTCGCCATCCAGCAGCTCCTCCTGCAACAATGCACGATATTACATAATTAATTTACTTATATGTTAAACTAGTATAAAAAATAATACCACATGACGAGATAACCCTACGTCTCACTACTATTGGATATTGTACTATGTCAGCTCTAAAGTAAATACTAACCTTGCTTATTTGAAACCTATCGCCACAAGGACAGGGATAGTAATACATATTTTCATCTTCCTCATATTCGAAGTCCTCAATTTCTATTTCATCATGAAATGTCGTCATTATTTATGTATTTCACAGTCATATTCAATCACTAAATTGGAAATAGTTACAATGATTCCTCGTTCCTCGATCTGTCAATAACACAGTAGTGTCACTGTCAACAATATTGTCAATGTCAGAAAATTAAAATTAGATATTTTGTTTAAAATCAAAATTCTGTGTATGCTTGATGCTGCCACGCTGCGTAGATTGAATTCAAGATTAAAATGAATAATAAATTATTTAACCCTTTTTAACTAAACCTTTGAAGCCATAATTTACTTTATGGAATAAGCCGACAAACACGCAGATGAATCTCCTGATGATTGATGAGTCGTCGCCACCCCTGGATATCCAAAACACCAGAGGCGATACAGGGCATTACCGGCCTTTACGGGTTTAGGATTTTGAAGATTGTTAGTAATTCGGGAACGGCAGAGATTGGAGAGCGATTGGTAATCACAATCAGTAGGTAAGGCCGTGGTATCACTTAAGACCGATGTCAAACTTGTTTATTCGTGCCGTAAATTGGCAAGACGAATTACCTCAAATAAATAGAGTGGTCTCGACTCGGGTAAAATTCGTAAAGTTACTAGAGGCTCAATCCGGAGCCTTTCCATTTCCATTGCTTGCTTTCATGATTTTATGCCGGTTTGGCGGTTCGCGAGTGAAGCTCAGGTTTAACTTTAGTGGAGCCAAGCTGCATGTATTGCCGAATGCCGATACTAATTGTTAAAGCCAGCGTCCTTGGGCTGAAGCATGGCTTTCTTCCACGTTTATTTTGTAACAGTGTTTCTTTTTAAACTTAAATTAGTTGGTACGGAAATATGAAATTCCTCTAGATCTATTTTAATGTAGAAGTGTAAAACTCATTACCTTAAATGTATTATTAATATAAAGCATGAGGTCAAAATCTAAGAAATTTATTTGATAATAAAACGTATTTATATTACAATCTGTGGTCGCGTCACTTACGTATGACATGTCTCTCACGTCACAGTCACGTCACACGTCATTTGACATTTTATTTCTGACCGACGGAGGAAGATCATGCTCGTTTCATCAAAATATTAAAATAGTTGCAAAAGTATCTTATAGTGTTACAGTGAGTGTCCTAGTGCCTGTGACATCCCATTTACTATCTTTACAGAACAAATTGACAGCACAATGTTCAGTTGGCTAAAGAAAGAAGGTGAAAAATCCGAAAGTATCGAAAATGTCGTGGAGGGTCTTAAAAGAATATATAAAACAAAACTTTTACCCTTGGAGCTTCACTACCAGTTCCACGATTTTCATTCACCGCAGCTCGAAGAACCTGATTTCGACGCCAAACCTATGATCCTGCTCGTTGGTCAATACTCCACCGGTAAAACTACATTCATCAAATATCTGTTGGAACGGGACTTCCCGGGTATAAGAATAGGTCCTGAACCTACTACCGACAGATTCATCGCCGTGATGTATGATGAAAAGGAAGGAGTGATACCTGGCAATGCACTCGTCGTAGATCCCAAGAAACAGTTTCGCCCCCTAAGCAAGTTCGGTAATGCATTTCTGAATCGGTTCCAGTGTTCAACGGTTAGCTCGCCAGTGCTGAAGGGCATCTCCATCGTGGACACACCCGGCATCCTGTCGGGAGAGAAGCAGCGTGTCGACCGCGGCTACGACTTCACAGGTGTGCTAGAATGGTTCGCCGAGCGCGTCGACCGCATCATCTTACTGTTTGACGCACACAAGCTTGACATATCAGATGAATTCAGGCGCAGTATTGAAGCTTTGAGGGGGCATGATGATAAAATTCGTATTGTTCTGAATAAAGCTGATATGATTGATCACCAGCAGCTAATGCGTGTTTATGGTGCTCTCATGTGGTCACTAGGCAAGGTGCTGCAGACACCTGAGGTGGCCAGAGTATACATTGGTTCTTTTTGGGACCAGCCTTTACGCTATGATGTGAACAGGCGATTGTTTGAGGATGAAGAGCAGGATCTCTTCAGAGACATGCAGTCCTTACCACGAAATGCTGCTTTGAGAAAACTGAATGACTTGATCAAAAGAGCTCGCCTTGCCAAGGTTCATGCATACATTGTCAGTGAGCTAAGGAAAGAAATGCCTTCTGTCTTTGGAAAAGATGGTAAAAAGAAGGAATTAATAAAGAATTTGGGTCAGGTGTATGACCGCATCCAGAGGGAGCAGCAAATATCCCCTGGTGACTTCCCAGACATTAAGAAGATGCAAGAAACTTTGGCTAACCATGACTTTACCAAATTCCACCCGCTGAAACCCAAACTGCTTGAAGTGGTGGACCATATGCTGGCCACGGACATTGCTCGCCTCATGGACATGATTCCGCAGGAAGATGTGAACATTGTGTCCGAGCCACTCATCAAAGGTGAGTCTTATTCTACTTATATTAGAGGTGTGGGGCTCTCAAGTGGAGAGCTGTGGAGTATTCACACAATTATTATAATAGTCCATTCTCACTTGACTTTTAGTCCATAACAACTTCCTTAGTCATTCTGATAAAGTTTGCTGGTTTTACAGGTGTGGTTATCATTCATATTGTTATGTGGAATAGGTAATATATAATTTTAAATTAAACACAATAAGAATGCATGAAACACATGACACATTTTTGTGTTGCATTAGTAATACAATACACCTTGTTGTATTGTACTAAACATATCACCGTTGGCAACTATTATGCTGACTGAGCATGTGCCTACAATTTATTTTGGTTACCTAAATTACTGGAAGTAACTTGTATTCAAAATGATGATAGCCACAATAGTTAGTAGTGTGTTTATAGTTAAATAATTTTATGAAGAGTACAAATCTAAGAAATGTATCAAGCCAGTACCACATTACATGTTGTAGGTACCTACTATCTCAAGATATTGACCTGATTTCTTATCAGAATGATAACACTTTGCCAGGAATTTACTGACATAATTGTAACTGTGCTAGGCAAACTCTATAATTAGAACTTATTCAATTATTATGTCTGACCTCATGATTTGGAAATACATTGTGGACAGAGCAACTTCCTTAAACATATTATATGTGCCAGTGCCACTATGTGTACGTACACTATGTGTCCCCGGATAAGTATATTTATTGCCATCAATTTTTTTATTAAATTATTGATATTATGTTTTGAATTCACTTATATTACAATAATTGTGTTGATAGTTTGATTTTTGAATTTATTAATTTTTCTTCAAATTATATTGTGATTACATTTTTATAATTTGCATGCTTCAAGGCATAATATGATCGGAAGTGTATCTTATCTGCTAACAACCAAATTTACCCATATTAGCAAAGAAATTATTTGATTTGATTTGGAGTAATTTATATCATCAATCTATTCATTCAATGTCTTGATTGTTGTTACACTCTCAACCTACAATTTCTTATGAAACTTCCTCCAAATATTTTCCAATTTGTAGATTTCATTTAACTTCACAAGAAAGAAACATTAACTCGTTGAGTACCGTCATTATAGACACAAAGAACAATAGGTTGCGGTCACTGGTGACCGGACCGCTCGGTGTTTGACAGTTTAAGCTAAATATACCTACTTTATGATGTGTAGGTACCTATATTATTTTGTAATGTACACACAAAGTGATTCATTTAGTTTTGCCTCAATATTTAATACATACAAAAATGCGTTCACATTATTATTATTAGTATTCAGTATGAATCATTGTGTATATTGATAAAAATTATTTGAAAAATATCCGGATAATGTAGGTAAATTATGAAATAAAATCATTGCAAAATATAGCCTTGTAGGTCGTACTAAGACCATAGTATAATGTTCTTTATACTATGCTAAGACGGTGCGCGGTGTCGCGATGTCAACTGCGGCGCGCGTCTCGACTACTTGCATTCAACTTGAACCAATTGAACCTTGGAGAAAGTGCCGATGCCACTGCTGCCAATTTGCTTCACATTTTAAACATTATTAGTCTACTGAAAATGTAATTATCTAATAGCATTGGTAACACTATCGAATGATGCTTATTTGATCCGTTCGCATAAGTCTTATCTGATCCGTCTGACCGTAGTTAACATTCAGACGTATTACACACACGGGAAGTCTGGACCGACGACCGGGACTATGTGGCACTAGATAATGTATTTTTGTTTCGATGTTTGGTGCCTTGATGATGGGCTGTATTCATCATGAACTACATACCTAGATATTGGTCTTGGAGTAGTTAGCACCGCGTCCGCGTCAGTTAGCAATTGACCTCTGACTCATACATTGGGCAGCCGATACGATCGCGTTCACTTGAATTATTTATTAGCATCATGTTTACTGCCTCAATATCGTTTCAACAGATTTTATGCCGTTTTTTGTTTTCAATTCTACTAGGTACACACTTCCATCTGCCGACCATGTGATTTTTACCATAGTTAGTAGTCGCAGTTACCTATGAGTACTAGACTAACAACTTGTGACGACCACTAGCAGCTCCCAGTCGCCTTCACCGTATTACACTTAGGTGACATCTCGGCTCGGGGACAAGGTCAAGCTGAATACCAGCTACTTATTTCTTACGACCGTACCTATCTAATGTGTTATCAGCAGATAATGGTGCTACTATGCCCTGTAAACCGCGCGAGCGCAATCGGGCGGTACGACAATTGTCACTTATACATATTATTCGCTTGGTGCAGCGAATTACAACGACTTGTCAGTAGGAAGTTAGTCCCATTCCCATTTGAGACACAAGAGTGCAAGAATATACCTTTTAAGAAGTGGTGGTCCTGTATACGGGTTTTGGGCATCAGGAGTTTAGGGATATTCAGGTTAGGTTATTGGGATATTTTCGGTTTGTCGCATTTTTTTTTTTCAGTAAATGCACAGTATATTAAGGCTCAAACTCATCCTTTATTACCTAGTCACAACTAGCAGAAAGTGACTGTTACATTGTTAACATGTGTACCTCTGTCTATCTCTTCGGCGGTTAAACATTAAGGCATTATGAGGGAATTCAGGCAGGATACGATGAGCTCAGTCACCTGCCAGTGTCACTTCACATGGCATTTGATGGTATGCATATTGTTGTAGCGAGGCATGGCCGTGAACAATATGACCGCGCACAAACCTGTAATTTGTTGACGTTGTACCTTAGTGAAGCAATCAATATGAAAAACACGTTACGCAATCGGCATGTAGTAATTGTTATCTGCTGCGCCAGCGTTATCATGCCACTAATCTGTTCGCTGACACCGCCCAGTGTCACTGTATGTATGTACACATACCCGTAGTACCTACAGTGAATTGCTAAATGTGTAGTTATCTCGGCTATCGCATCGTATTATATCACACCGCACCGCATCAGCACCCAGTACTCAGCCGGTGCCGAGGCTCGGATCCACCGCTAGCTCGCCAGTGTACAGTGGCACACAGTCCCAGAATCTTTCAAATCTTTTTCTTTGTACTGTAGTGTGCGTCATCAGTCAGTTAGTCATCGCTAATGAAACTAAGTAGGTTTATAATTTTGCGATACACCGTTACTGAATCAGCAATCATTGCATGTTTGTACTACGTGATCATATCCATAGGCTTGTTGTGACGATTCCGACATTATTGATTTTAATTTCATAACCTTCGCTTGACCATTAAGCCCGCGGCTGGAGGGTAATTATTGCAGCTAATGCCTAAGTTTTATTATTATTCCGAATTAGTAATAATATCCAGTTTCCTTGTTAGGGTTAAGAGTCAATCTAAGTGAAGAACACCTCGCGAGGTGAACCCTCTGTCTTCCAAATATCACGTGATTCTGAATGAGTAGACATCGGGTTATATCCATATTATTATGCAAATGCTATAAATTGATACTAAGTGCCAAACGTCACAAGTTTGCTGTAAATTCCTGAAAAAATATATTAAATGAGAATATAAAATATATTTCATAAAACCATTATAAATTAGTCATATTCGTTTTGATTTCCTGCAGAATTTATATGTAATTATAAAATGACTTGCTAAATGTGTTGTTAATCGCAAATCTCGGGTTTTTTATTGTTAAGAGAAGGTACTTTTTGTAAGAAAAACAATTCTAAGGCGAAATATAATTCGTCTTGTCCGCTAGTAAATTTCTAATTACTTATAATTAAAAATTGTTGTTTTATTGTGCATATTTCGCCGTTTTTAGTGCATATTTGCAGGCATATGTTGGCATAGCCGATATCTAATGATGAGTAACTATATAAATTAATTGTTGTATGCTTCGATCAACAATAACAACTCTTCTTCTCTGTTTGTTATTTTTTTACTATTATTATTCACACGGACAGAACTGGAGCTTAATTTTGTACGTAACCCTTTATCTAGTTGCTATTGTTGATCGAAGGTTGTATGTTATGTTGTGTGACTCGGTGACAATTTATGCGAGGTAGCCAGGTGTTTAATGCATGAGATTCTACATGTGGAATCGAAAAATTGTTTAAGTTTAATCGCAGAGTACAACTGCCTCCATCGAGACTTGAACCCTATCAGCATACGCTAGCTGCCTAGCCACTCAGACTCAGGATCAGGAGTCTCTAACTTTGATGACGACAGACTCGGTCAATGCGCCGTATGCGCATGCGCATGCGTAAGCTTGATGAATGATGACTAACTTGTGTTAATACGGAAACATTATTAGGGACACGCCGACTCGACAAGTTTAACAAACTGTCGGCCGTCATCACTGTTCGCACTACTCACTCCAGAACTTTGTGTTCAGTACGACCGTACGAGTAACTACTGAGAGTTGGTACTAGGGCTGGGGAGTGGCATGATATCCACGTGCGCGTGCGACTGAATGAAACATTCAGTGTTACATCAATTCAATCAATTGTCATTATCATTAGCGACTAGATCAATGTGACATGTATTTCGTTTCGGTGTCGCGGAATGAGGTGCCGAACTACCGATAGTCGATACCTACAAGCGCAATGGGAGCGCGACCAGCCCCGACTGCGACGCGGCGCCACTTTCGCCGCGCTCGTTAGTCTAGATTAATCATGATTACAATAGAAAATGGGCATGAGCCACGCTTACTAACTCACTGCGGTAGCGTAGGTACTTGTAGTCGGCTCGCAACGCATGACTATTGCTTTATCCATTCGTTGTTAGTGACCTAGACATTCGGTTGTAACTTGTGTGCTAGAATTGAAGGCGACTTAACCACTACACTTGATATAGACATCTTAGTGAGTATTACCGCTTTTTGAAATGTAGTATACATACCTATTTCTGTAAAAATGTAAAACTCATTGCATAATTCGGTCTTCAGTGCAGTGGTATTGTATGTTTGTAACTCGAGCAGTTTTACTTTTGGTTCACTAACCAAACATTCTAGATTCGAAATTCCGATGGGTTGGTGT